TACAGGTGAACACTAGAGAGAGGGAACACACGTAAAGGTAAACACTAAAGGGCGGGAAACACACGTACATGTGAACACTAGAGAGCGTGAACACACGTACAGGTGAACACTAGAGAGCGGGAACACACGTAAAGGTAAACACTAAAGGGCGGGGAACACACGTACATGTGAACACTAGAGAGCGGGAACACACGTACATGTGAACACTAGAGAGCGGGAACACACGTTAAGGTGTACACTAGAGAGCGGGAACACACGTAAAGGTAAACACTAAAGGGCGGGAAACACACGTACATGTGAACACTAGAGAGCGGGAACACACGTACAGGTGAACACTAGAGAGCAGGAACACACGTACAGGTGAACACTAGAGAGCGGGAACACACGTACATGTGAACACTAGAGAGCGGGAACACACGTACAGGTGAATACTAGAGAGCGGGAACACACGTACAGGTGAACACTAGAGAGCGGGATCACACGTACAGGTGAACACTAAAGGGCGGGGACCACAAGCACAGGTGTACACTAAAGGGCGGGGAACATACGTACAGGTGAACACTAAAGGGCGAGGAACATACGTACAGGTGAACACTAAAGGGCGAGGAACATATGTACAGGTGAAAACTAAAGGGCGAGGAACATACGTACAGGTGAACACTAAAGGGCGGGGAACATACGTACAGGTGAACACTAAAGGGCGAGGAACATACGTACAGGTGCACACAAAGATTATTAGAGGAACGTACGTACACGTTCGATGTACTTGTACACGTTCCGGAATCGAGAAACACACGTACACGAACGGAGGCGGGGATTAGCGGAGTATGGCTCCCTTGTTGTGTTTGTAAACTTCATAACATACACATGCACGCCAGCGCAAGACCACGTAGCATGGATACAGGCGTTTATTTTGGGACTCACAATTCAAAATATTGTTGTTTTTATTTGCCGTTAATTTACTTACCGCATACCTCGAGTAGTTTGTTTACTGCGGACAATAAAAACAGTTGATTGTTTAACTTCCCTTTTTCGTGTCCTTGACCGCGTGGCAGTTACTGCGGCATCTGCCGTTGTGGATCCACACACCCAACATATATACTGTTACAACTTTTATTTTTAAAGATAGAGGTTTTCGCAGTGCAATTTTATCGTGAATTAAAATATCTCGCTATAAGAGATTATAGATATACAAATGTACATATTCTTAATAAGAATATGTTTGTTTTAAGAATATATTTGTTTTCGTTCGTTCCCGAATTCAGTTCCTTGGAAAATCAATCGTGCAATTGAGCGGAAATGATCTGCGGCGATATTTGAAAACAAAATATCTCGGTACATGTATATACTGGAAACTGAGACACGAATACCAAGTCGTTTAAGAAAATGTCGTCTTTTCTGACTATGTAAATTAAGTCCTATTGAATTTGTTATGTAATGCTTCAAAGCATTTTTCATGATTGAACAAAATAAACAAAATTGACATGTACTTTAAAATGTCAAAATGCAAATGATATAATAAAATGTAAACACGGGTAATATTGTCCTTGCACTTTATTTTTTTTATGTTTAATTTTGCTTTACGTGTAAATCCAACATGACGGAAAATAACTAGGGTAGATCACGCACATCGACCGGACGTCACGATCGGAATTACTCCGCAAGGTAATTAGGTCTTTGTTGGTGCTAACCCTTGTCATTACAGGCACCTGTCTCTCCTACAGTGACACTTGTTACCTTTCTCCTGATTCTCTAACGAGGTGGGGTTGTTGTTTGTAAGATATTAAACGGGGCTCTCAAAGGGCTTTCCCACGACAGAGTAGGTTAAGTGGGTTGTGTAACATTCTAGCTATCAACGTTTAGGTTGCGTAAATGATCAGTTCCCGTTGACTGTCGGTCACATCACCAATGGGTAGATACGGTAGAAGACGCCCTGATTGTATTTCTGTTATCAAAGTCTAGAAAGTTATCCACGAATTCAAATGAAGTGCCGGAATCAAACAAATTGTACTAAGAATGAGCACTAAGTCCCATGTCCCCCTCGAGCTCACTGATGTCCGAGTGTCAGGTGCTTTCTATTCTCCCCTCCACGCCATCTCCCCACCAAAATATGTCCTATTTCCCCTTCGTACCTAGTGTCATGAAGGCAGCTGAGTTGTCCTCGCTCCCCTCACAATCGTGTATCTTGCCCCTATTCACAGAGACGTATGCCAGCCCTTTCCTATACCATGTATCCTCCTCCCTTACCAGTCACACATTTGGTGTCCTCGCTTTCCCTTCCGAGTCACGTGTCCTTACCTCTCCCATCCGTATTTACCATGTCCTCGCAAATGACCTTAACCTATATCCATGAGATGTCACTGCTTCTGCACGTGTCTCAAGTTCCGACTCTTTCCTTCATGACCCAAACCCTCACTCCGTCTCCGCGTACATGTACATGTATCATCTCCTCGCTCTCCCTCAGTGTATCGTGTCCTTACCCCCTCGAACCCCATATGTCCCTCTCTCGTAATATATTCCCATAATGTGCTCCCATATTCGTGTCGCATGTCCCCGCGATCAATCCACAGCCTCAGACATCAAAACCATTCTGGTTAATGACACGTGACTCTAAATTGTCTCGCGTGAACACAAATAAAGGTGTTAGTGAGCTAACAATCTAATAAAAGCACGTGTCATGTGATTGTATCCTAGATATCAGCAGGGAATCAAACACGAGGGAATATGTGTTACCAATTAAATAAACATTTGGGTCACGAGACTTGAACGTGAGTTTGAAGTCAAGCCGGACTTAACGGCTCATTAGTTGTTCCTAACACAGAAAATGTCAGCCTAGTTCGTTGGTTGTCTTAATTATGTCGTGTCTTCATCAAATCCTGATGTTCAAGGAAATACTTTTTCTTTTCTCTGCTGAGATTAGCAAGATGTGATAACGTTTTATCGAAGTCATTGGACTGCAGCAAGATCCCGGTATGACGAAGTCATTTAATTACAGAAAACATCTAATGTCGAAGCCATTGGATTATAGCGCAACCCTTTTATGTCGAATCCCTTGAATTGCAACGCATCCACGTTTTGTTGAAGCCATTAAATCATAGAACCATGGAATGTCAAATCCATTGAATTACAGTGCAACACCGTTATTTCGAAGTCATTAAATCCAAGCATAATCCCGTTAAGCCGAATCCGTTGAATCACAACTCTATTTTCGTTTTAACGAAGCCAATGAAAATCACCATCACCCCGTTTTTTCGAAGCCATTTAATTATAGCAAATCCTGGTGTGTCGAAGTCTTTGAAGTTCTACGCAACCATGTTATGTAAATGTCGAAGTCAGCGAGACAATGACATAAAACTATGTATATTGAAGTCGTCTGAATTATAGAAAATATCTTGAATTTATTTTACTCATGATATATTTTGAAAAAAAATGCATTGAAATAATTCGACAAGTAACAAAAATGAGAAACACATGTTGAAGTTCCTCTGTAGTTTCGCATTGATTACAATATCAAAATTATAAAATATAGTGTCTTTTAACAGGAGGAATTCATGTATATGCATGAATTTGAAACATGATGTCTCTCCAGATTTCGTCTCTAGGCTTTCAAATGTGACTTTATTCTATTATTTGACACACCAGGTGTTCAAGTTATCTTTTTATCTATCATAGTTCTTTAAGCGTCAGTTACAGTATAATAAATTCACGGACAGAACTGTGTATATAGTGCAAGACGTTTCTTTTAAAATAAAATTTAAAAAATGAATATCACGCCATCGTTAAGAAGAAACCTCCCATTGGGCGGCAAAATGGAAGTGTTTTAATACGTTGAGTTAATGCTACATACCCTACAAAGATTACAACAAGCGTTAACACCAGTTTACCAATAAAAAGGCATAATTTAATGAGTTAAATCTACGATAATTTAATGTAGAGCACCGCACAGCCGCGCTCTACCAGTAGCGACAGTTGCGTCATTAAGTGTAAAGACAGGGGTCGAAAGCTCTCGACGGCAAGCTTTCAAAAATAGCGTTGTATAAAATCGTACTAAATTAAATTTAAGGATTTGATGCTAATTTGATATCGTTTTATCGCCACGAAAAAATGTCTCGACACTGGTGATAATTTGAATCATTTTACCCCTAACTTGTCACCAAACACTTAGCATAACAGTCAATACACCACAGTTTAATTCAATTTTAATTTCATTGCAGCTCAGTTGCAAAGATAGGCGAGATAGCAGAGCCGACAGCCCAGTAGGGTACGGCTATGGCCGGAATATAAAGCAACATGCATCAAAGATATGGTTATGTTTTACTAGTTTTTAGTGGGGCCATATAAATATGCATGCAAACTTTATCTCACTGATTCATCACATGTTAATTTCTACGATTATTATTAAATAATTTTATGAGCGGTTTAGTTTCGTCTGTCCTTGACTTCGGAAAACTATTTTTGACTCTGTTGACTATACCTCCGTGACACCGTTAGAGGGCGCTATTCCATTATACTTTACGCGACGTCATGTTGCGCAGTCATATTACGAAACCCTTCAATGTATTCAAACACTGCCATTAGCAGTTGCAGTTTTGCTCTCATAAATAAATCGGATCATTGAAATGATACAGACGGGTATTGCGACAACAAATGAAAATACTCCATTTTACCTTTGCGTGACGTCATGTTGCGCAATGGTAATACGTCACATTTTAAATGTTAGCCATTACTTCCTGCTCTGTCGTGTTGACGTAAATAGCGTGTTTTGAAACAGGAAGCGCACAAGAGTTTACAGAAAAAACATAGTGGCATTAAAAAATATGTTACCCTGTACATGTATTTAATAAGTTCTATCCAATCAAATGTAATGTACTAAATTCATTATGGTCTTTTCCCGAGGAAACTGTTCTCTTAGAGTAATGTCAAAAGCCGACGGGTAGGGCACTACATTGTATGAACTGAATTTTAGGATAAAATTAAATATGACTTATTTGTTTTTGCAGGACATATTACTACAACACATATCGGGAACGATTTCAGCCCAGCTATACCACCAAATACAAGTGTTGCCACGGCTGGCAGGAACGATCGGGGCAGACGGCCGGATGCATGTTCCGTAAGTAGCGACACCTATACATTATCATATTGTCAAAAACAAGGCCATAAATGCATAAATTAAACGAGGAATTCATTGTCATGTTTGTTTAAACTTATATTATCTCAAATATGGACAAAATTATAAAGGATTGGGCAAATCAATTCGGCTGTCTTGGGAAAACAGCTCTGACATGTATATATATACATTTACTGGTACGTTGGGTATGCTTGACTTATACTGTATATATATATGACACATTCAAATGTGTGTTGTCCTTATAAAGAAAACGAGTTCAAAAACCAACTAAGCAACAAAACAACCTACTCAGAAATTCCTGTCTGTGTTTTTCGTTATCAAAGGAACATTCCGGAACAACCGGAAACTGTTTCCGACAACTGAGCTATCAGATATTGGACGATATTGAATAAACAACCGGTAACACACTCTCAGATAGTCCACTGTATCATAATTCAGACTACGACTTCCCCCAAACAACCCCGCTTTAAACTTTCATTGCATCACTGTCTTCTGGTATGTCAGGCGAATTTTACATCGAGAAACAGTTTTGATTAATAGTTTACTTGTATGATTTTTTCCACTACTTCTTAAAATGTCAAAAAACATCTTTCTATATCTACAAACATGTACATACATCGATACATACAAACTATAAAACGTACATACACAAATGGGAAATTAAAACCTCATGATGTTAAAATAATGCTTATCAAATCGTTCAGTCGAAAGTAATGATTTGCGTGATAGCTGTTGTGCATTTTTTCTTGCATCAAGTTTATTCAGTTTTGAATTTAACATTAAAATTATTTTGATGAAGTGTTCTTTGTTCTGATACATGTTAAATCTTCACCGTAGGTAAACCCTTTCTTCCTGGTCGATATCCCCTCCCCCATCTCCACCCCCGCCCCCGCACCCATATATATATACACACACACCCTCCCAACCGTAAGGTATTCATCCCCGCCCTTTTTGCTATTCCTCTACTTATGATAATAACTGCAGCAATAATCTAATCGCGTATGGTACGTCAGTAGCAAACTGCTTAATGTTGTTGGCTCTGAACGCAGAAAAACAGAGGAAAACAAAACAAGAAAAAGAAAAATGAGAAAAGGAAAGATAGAGAAAGAAATACATAAACGCCTCTGCTTAAATGGGACACGTGCCTAATGAATTCAGTTTCCTCCTTCTCGTCTGACAAACAATTCAATCAATGACGACCCAGACGATCCGGTATACCTGGACCACGCCCCTTCCTGTATACACGCCTTCAACAATTCCTTTATTAAAGTTTCGTTTCGTATCTTTTTTATGTTAAATTGGTAATCTCCATTTCAAGGAGATAGATTTTGTAACAGCTCATGGGTAGAATACAAATCGACGATCACATTTACCTGGTGCATACGGTTTAGCCCGTATCAAGTTTGACAGAGGTAAACCATTGTTGATAACTCTGTTCTCGGTGAAACCGCCGATAAGGGCTTACCCTGTCTGACATCTATCCAGTCTGTAGTTCAGTAGCTTCCAGTGTGATGGTGTTTAAAAATAAATATTTTACAAAAACAAAACCGTTGGAATTTCTGAATAGACGTTATTGTTTTAGCTTAGGAATGATATATTCATGTTCCTTCAATGATGCGATAAAACTTGAGAAAACATATGTTATTTTGTACCACTGTACCATTTTACAAATATTCTGAATGTATGTAGCACAAAGACAGTAATATATATTGCAAAATAAAAATAATTTGTTCGAAAAAAGAATAGACATGTTGTACATGTTTCCGTTGATTATGTGAAGTGGGTAAATTAGACCTCCCTGTAGAATCGGAGGACACCAAACCTGATTTTCTTCACCAAACATGACAGTTTCAAACGTTTTGACGTTTCTTCCCCTTTCTTTAAACATTTTTATAGCTTTTGTCTCCGCCTTGCCCTTTTCGTCCACGTGTATTGCTTTGACTGAAACAAAGAATTTAATTAAGATAACTCCGGTCAACAGATGGAAATATTTTACAAAATTTCTTACATACTAGTTATCCATAGTAAATCACATGTGCCGTATGACTGCAGTTTCCCGCTACTTCCCGTTTTAATTACAATGCCAGACGTCCACACACGCATTAAGCATGGTATTATTGAAAAATAACCACACATCCTTATACAGACATATGTTTAAATATATGCTCTATTAATTAAATATGGTAAAATAAGGATATGATTGTAGGTCTGGATTTACTGGATTTCCGTAGCAAATGATCATAAGCGGGAATAATTGTGCGACTTCCGGTTTAATTAATACTACTTCCGGTTTTAGACGTGCTAGATTTGATAATACCATGGGTAAAGTTTGAAGCAATGCGTAACGAACATTTGTTTCCTGGTATTCTATGGAATTTAAGTGTTACATAATTTATGCCAATTAAGCTTACTGCGGAAAAATAAAGCACAAACAGAATAACACAATATGGCGATTGGTGTTGATTGTATTTTTGTGTTCTTTAATTACCTTCACACTTCTTATGGCAACACTTTTCCTTTGGTGTCACTGTAGAACGTTCGCTCATGTGTGGAAGGCAATTGGTTCTGTTCACAGGCCGGGACATGCCAAATTTATGAAAATGTAGTCAGCACCAAATCCGCGCTAATACACCAACATAGCGCCTTCAGCTTACACACACGGAGACACGTCCTCAAATGTCCCAAGTTGAAATAGGACACTCAACCAAACCAAACATATAAAAGAAGACTAGTTATTATTTCGTTTCAAGTAATTAATTATTTGTAAAACATTAAAATATCGGGCTTTCTTTTCGTTGTTTTTTTCTGATCCCAACCAGAAAAAAAGTATATCAACATCAACATTATCATACGCCAGGAGTAATGTATTCGTCTGTTGTTGTTGACTGTTAAGTGAACTTAACAAACAAAAACGAGAATAGGTCTCCCAACGACCCAAAACTTGAGCGAGACTGATGGATAGTGTGTTCTGTTTAAAGTTCACACAGGGAAAATAAGATTGTATTTGAGGACAGGATAAAATATCAAAGATATAATACAGGTTGTCTCAACCATGACATTGCTTTCATCCCCAACACTGCTGAGCTAGCATAAACAGCGAATACAACAACGACGACGGTAGTCTTTTCATACTTTTTTTTTGGACATAAAACCAAGTGCCGTCTGCGGGATAATGTGTTAGGCCTGTCGTGACTTTACCTGTTTAAAAGATCTGCAAGTAATGAAGATATGCAAAATGATAGGATATATATGAAAATGGCCCACTTGTGTATTCCATACGGTCTTCATGCGTCCATTGTGATCTCTGAGGAACGTTCCATGTCGGGGAAAGTCGGGAATTTTTATGGGATTCCTGTTAGGATGACCCTGAATAATATGGTAGTGATACCTAAAACGAGTGACAAATCATGTAAATCTTTCACGTGGATGATATAAAAATACATATTTGCTTTTAAAATGTAGGAAGATAAAGCTTGTCTATGACCTCCTCGTATAACACCACAATTTCATACACCAAACTGTCGTTTTACTGAAAAATTATGCAGGTGTCCCATAAGATATACTTTGTGTCCTATGTGTAGAGTTTTGGCAAGTTTCATAGTGTATATGAAAGCTCTCCATTTGTACACCTTTGATCTGTATGGTGATTTGACAAAGGACACACTCGGGTCATGAGTAAGACCACAGGGGCAGGAGAATAAAATACAGGTTTTAAGTTTGGACTTATCTTGATGTATATATAGAGTAATATTTGATACTTAGGGTGTTTCGACCCCCATGATAGTATAAGTAGTCTATATAATCCCTCCTTTGGGGGTCGGTATTTTTCTTGTAATGATCAACCCCACATAAACGTCTTATTTTTCTCCTTACACATCAGCACCCATTAAGACAAAGACCTTGTATTTGGTTATCGGGCCCCTGTGTGTTTTATAACTAACTTCCAATACTGACATCATTTTTGATTTGATAAGAAACAGTGTACAAAGACATGATCAATTGAAATAAAACAGACATGGCGACAAATAGACAGGTGTGATATATTTCATAATTTGCTACTGTGCGATGTAAACATTTTTTACGATCTCATAACAATTAACAACACGACTTGTGGCGTCACTGAATTTTTAATTACGAAAAAAGGTTACACGGGCGTTAGTGTATTAGACTTTAGGGGAATAGTTTCATAATGAACTTTGTAATGTGTACGTATTATGAATTTGACATACTTATTACAAACTTCCAATTCATCAAAAAATGTGAATCAAGTTTCTAGAAGCCGGAAGTAGCATTTGAATTTTACCGGAAGTGAGATAAGATTTACTTAATGTTATTGTTAATCTCAGTCGATAGGTGAAATAGGTGATGCTTTATTGGTGTCATCACATTCGGATGAATGTATGCAGACAGAATTTGATTTTCAAAAAGCTAAACCGTTTTGAATTGGACGAAAGAGAACAGCGAATGAGCATTTTCAGTGCATGATTAAGCGAAATGCTGTTCCAACTGTAATGTTAAATAAACGTCATCAGACAAACTGAATACGATATAGAGAAACTTAGTACTAGGCACCTTGCGATATTCCTTGTCAGATGTTGTACATACATGTATGCATATGCCAAATAAGTCATTGTGTAGCATGATAGCGTAAATAAGTGCTCTCATTCATTTCATGATCTCGAAGCACTAACAAAATAAAATTTGGATTTGGTAACGCGATTCGGTTTTACCAATGTGCATTTGTCGATTTGACGCTTGGCATTCCGCTACAATATCACTGTGAATCGATTTGAGTCAATCGCTCACGGGACTAAGATTTTAGCATGCTAATGAAAACACAAAAAGTAGTAACTTAATGATCAGAGATTCCACTGAATTCAATAACGGGTAACTGGAATTTAAAAATAAATAAAAATATTATAGGTTTCAATCCATATTTGCACTTATATCTAGTGAAACCTATGCTGAACCTTACCACCAGG